GGCGACGAGGGGGCGGGAGGGAGGGTGGAGGGTGGCTTGACGGGCTGCTGGGCGCGCTGCGTGTAGTGTTTGGCTCGACACCGGGTAGCCGCGCCACCACCTTCCTCCCAGATACCCGTGCGGCCGGCCGGCGGAGGGCGCGGCGCAACCCATCAACCAACCGCTCTCATGATCCCATCGTTTGTGGCGGCCTGCAGCCCCGCACTGAGGTATGCATCATGTCGTCCACGACCGTGCGCCATCAGGCTCCTACGCTCGAGCACAAACCAAGGTCGCAGGGACAAACCTGCAGCGACAGCTCGATCGCGATTTCGGGTGTCTCAGAGCGCATGCGGAAAGGGTACTTGTCGGAATACTCGCGGAACGCGGCCATGTAGCGCCCCGCCTGGCGCATCAGCCAGACGGGCGTGCGCTCCGCAGCTGCGCGGTCCCAGGAGCGGGGAAGCGCGGGGTGCGGGGGCGCAAACCGTCAGCGTGCAGCACACAGCACGCACTGAGCAGCGGGCAGCGTTGCCATCTGGCAGCTGCACCGCAGTAGCGATTCGTCAAAGAGATATACATGCTCTCCATACGATTGTAAAGTACTCAAGCTCGCAGGAATGCAGCATCTATCGGCCATCACACCCGCGACTCACCCTCTCCCCGAGCCACGCGGAGCAGCAGCGGATCCTGGGCTGCTGCCGAGACCACTACACTCCTTCTCACATGCCTGCACTGCTGCTGCTGCCCGCCGAAGGCGGTCCTCCTGGTCCCTGCCCCTCTCAAGCTGCTGTTCTGCATCCCGTTCGTTGCTTTTCTTGTGATGAATTGAAAAATTCCGCCAATTTGCTGGGTTGTGCGATTTGTACAAGTCGGAAGTGCTAACCGCTGTGTGCCAAGCTGCAGAAATCTGCCTGCAGATCTCTGGTTCGGGACAAGCTGCACCTATGATGCAAATAATGAAACTGTGGCCGTGTGCCTGATTCGCCTATTGAGTGCTACCTGGTGCCCACCCTGCTCATGAGCTCTGTCAGCCCAGCTGCCTCCCGCGCAACGCTTTGCCTGCTTTGCACGCACATCATGCCTGGGCACCAGCAGGGAGGGGCAGACATCGCAGGATATATGGAAGAGCTGTTGATGTTGAAGAGCACATGATGCTTCCTCAAGGGTTGTGTTAAGCAGGAAAAGCATAGGCGCATGTGCATTTCCCCCTTGACGCTGGCCTTCGTTGGTGCCTTGCTTGCTGCTTAGTGCTACTAAGCACAGCACCCAGCAAAATGCACGCTGACGGCGCGCCGTGCTCTCTTTGTTCCTCGTTCACTCTACTTGCCAGATGATGGGGACATTGCCCTGCATGCAGCACCCTGGCATGTTTGGAATCACTCGCCCTGTGCACCCATGTGGTGCTCCGCCGCGCCCTGACCACCGGGGGCTGTGCTGACCCCTTGGTCCCCCACGAGTGGCCAGTAATTAACGTGTTAAGAATGTTAAGGCGTGGTGCATAACCCTTCAAGGGACGCGGTGCACACATACTGCAAGGTTTGGACCGCGGCCAGCTCGCGTGGCTTGAGTGGCCGCGCTCCCCACACTGCGTTTGTCGTGCCCTGGGAGTCAACCGTGACGCAGCATGCTGCCGTCGTATCTGTGCGGCTCATGTGACTTTTTGGCGCTGAAATTTACCCCGAGGAAGCAACCAGGGTCGCGCAGCGAGCACCGTGCACCCGGCAGCGTGGCCGCCCACGTGGCCTGTGACGGGAACCCACGACGTGATCGGTCGGGCAGGCGCCTCTTGGCCCCCAGTTGCACGCGTGGCCGGCCCGAAGTGTGCAGCAGCCGTGCTAATCAATGGCCTGGTTGCAGTGGATCTAGACCCACCTGATCAGGGGCGGACCTTGTGTCCGGCCAGGCGGCCTGGCCGCGCGGGGCAACCGGGCACGAAGGTGACAGACACCGTCAACCTGGAACTTGCCCGTCTGCAGACGGTCCCCCGGAAATTAATGATTCGTAAAATTCTGAATTTTTTGACCTTATTTTTATAGCGCCTTCCCAGGGGACCTCCCCCCGGAAGCGGCGGGCACCAAGGCGTAATCCCTCAGAACTCGCACTCGACGCCACGGAAAGCTCGTCGGCAGCTGCCGTAATCGATTCGGACTAGGATGAATCCGTGATTTAGCAGCGTGTCGATGCCGGTTCTCAGCGAGGCGGAGGGCGCCGTTGAAGACCGCCCTTTGCCTTGAAGAAGCGGGCGCGCCTCTGTGCGCTCTCGGATATTAGTGACCGATAAAATAGCACTTTAACCGCTTTATTGGGAGCCAGGCGGACCACGTGGCAACAAACAGGGGTTCGGCGGGCGTCATGGAGGCAGGCAGAGGCTCGGCGAGCAGCAGCGCTTCTCGTGCCCAGCCGCCGCACGGGATGCAGGAGGACCCCAACAGAGGGTGGGTGATGCATTCAGCGCGGCCTATCGCATTTGTGCACGCCTGCGCATCGCCCAGGCCCAGCAAAGCCGCGACGCAGCGGGCGGTTCTCGTCCCGCTGGCAAGTTCTCACACCTGTGGGGCTGCACGGCCCCCTTCCAAACACCCTTCCCTCCGACGCGCCCGCCCGTCCCAACGCCCGGTCCCCGCCCCGGGCCCACTTGCGAAACCCTGCATAGCCCCCGCCCACGCCCGCGCCCGCGCCGCCCGTCCCTCGGAACCCGTCCCTGAATCGCGGCCCCCAAACCGCCGCAGGTGGGCGGCCCTGCCGGTGCCGTGCCTGCGGGTGCTGGCGTCCCACCTCCACGCCTCCCGCTGCCTCTTCGCCGTCAGCGTAACCTGCCGCGGCCTCGCGCGCATCGGCGACCACCTAGCCACGGACCTGAGCGGCGTGGCGGCCCCAGACCTGCACCGCGCGTTGACCAGGTTTGACCGCGCGACGTCTGTGTCCGTCGACCTCCCGGAAGACTTTGACTCCGACGCCGGCTTCGCGCCCCCTGACCAGCATTACCGACGCCTCGCGCGCGCCCTCGCGC